CCCTTCACGACCCTCCCAGGTGGGAGACGGGACAGGGGACAAAGTCGACGGTGTCCTCGTGGAAGGACGTGGACACAGTTGCTGGGGGAGGGGGGAGGCCGGGCCGCTGAGAGTTCTCCAGACGCCTCCAGAACGAGGGTCTGAAAATGCGGGCCAGGCAGAGCCTGCCTCTCCTTTGATCGTGGCGTTTGCTCAGATTAGTCCTCTGGTTTCGGGCGCCGGGGAGAGTGAGACTTTATTATCTGCCCTGCAGAAAAACGATAGCGTTTTCCAGGGACAGCGCCGCGGGCGTGTGGAGTGCGGAGACGGTTCTGTGATCAAAATCAGCCCTTGACACCCTCTCCTCGTCTGCGCCTTCGAGGCATCGGGGGCGGGGGGGGCGGGGGGAGGCTCCTTCTTCCTTCCCACGGGAGGCTCCGCCCCCCCCCGCCCCCCCTCCCCGGAGCGGCGAGGACCACGGATGCAGTGCACGTCCCAGGCGGGAGGGGGTACGCACTCTCTCCTCGCAGAGGGGAAGGTCGGTGAGGGGGGGGACCGTGGTTTGAAAGTCCTGCTTGTGTTTCCTTTTCCTGCCTCTCACTGGCAGATCTTGAAAGTGATACTCTCCCCCCAGCCCCCCACCCCCCAAAAACTGTTGGTGATTAGTTCCTTCTTGGGTTGCTTGGTGAGCACAAGGAAGTCCCCAGGACTAGGTGATTCCGTGAGAAAGCGGACCTCGCCGCCCGCTGACCACGGACCGGCCGACTCCTCGCTTTCCCGCAAGGGGACGCTCACCCCAGGGGCTGTCACCTCTCTCTGCCGGAGAAGACAGACGGGAGACCAAGGCAGCCTGGGGCGTGCCTCTGATCACGCCCGGGACACGGTCCCAGCCTGCGCCGGCGGGGGGGGAGGGGGGGTGGGGGCTGCTGAGGGCAGGCGCTTTGCCTGCCCCCACAGCAGCAACCGGGCCCGTCCCGAGGTCCACGTTTACTCTTGTACGTTGTTCGCTCACTTTTGTCTCGTGAACAGCTCGTGTTTAACACACGCCCGTGAACAGAGCGGAGTTTAAAGCCGCGCAGAACCCGGCTGCGCTGAGACAAGCACTGTTCACACTGGGGCCGCAGGCTGCTCCGGCCGTTACATGAAACAGGCGGATGCCGGGCACGCCCCCGGGGCCGCGTGGGGGCCTGAGCGCCCCGCAGCATTGCTCGATCAGCCCCCCACCCCGCCCTGCGTGGGGCGTTCCCAGCACCTCACAGAGGGGGAAACCGAGGCACGAGGAGACAGTGTGGATTCCACCCTGTTTCTCTGGCTTTACGGACACGGTATTTTTTTGTTGGTGGTTTGTAGTCTTTTTTGGTTTGTTGTCGCAAAAATAGGAACACTCTATACATACTTTATTTTTAGTTGGCTCTTTTTTACTTACTAATTGTGGTGGGCAAAATCCTAACCGGGCCCCAGGGCGCCCCGCCTCCTGTCTGACGCCCTCCCCGTCACTCGGTCAAACCCCCGCGCGGGCGCTGGTGGGAAGGGGCTCCTCTGGTGAGGCCGCAGGCCCAGACGAGTTGCCCGGAAAGCAGGGTGAGTCTCACCCGGAAGTGGTCCCTTGCAAGAGACTGGGCATCTCCTGACGTCAGAAGTCAAAGCACGACAGGGATTTAGCGTGGGCCATTCCCTGTTGCTGGCTTGGGGGTGACAGGGTGCATGGCAGGGGACGCTGGCAGGGTCCAGGGGCAGAGGGCAGCCCCCAGCTGGCAGGCAGCAGGTGACGGGCACCTCGACCCCTGCCTCCAAGAACCGGACTCCTCACAGCCTGGGAGGAGCCCAGGTGGGGTCTCGGCTTTCAGAGACCCTGAGCTGGGCACCGGGTCGGCCACGCCCACCTCAGCCCCCGCAGTCCTGCGAGCTGATTGACGGGTGTTGGGCAAGTGGCAGTGGTGTGGCAACTTGTTACACAGCAGTGGGAAACTGATACAGTAACACACCAGGAGTGCCTTTCACTTCCACCCCAGAGTCCGCTTCCACATAGCGACTTGAACAGCTACACAGTATCCCAGGGAACAAGCGACTTGAACAGCTACACAGTATCCCAGGGAGCGGCGCCCCACCCTGCACGTTCTCGATGCCCTCTGATCACACACCTTTGCTGCTCCCGGTCTTCGTGCTACTTTAGGCAACATTGTGGTGAGCGCTTTGTAGCCAAGTCTCCGGGCACATCCTCGGGTCCCTGGAAGGGGAGTTGCACCCAGTGTGGCCGAATGTTGGTTCCGCCACAAATGACTACTGCCCTTTAGAAATGTTTACTTTTCATTGACCGCTTACAAGCTCACTCGTTTCCCAAAGCACTGGCAACACTGGGAATTTTCTAGTTCGAGTGACAAAACATGTCCCCTCTCTTTGCATTTTTAAATTACTGGTGTAATTTGGACGTTTTTTTTCCAGGGGGCATGTGCCTTTTTTCTTTTCTCTGCGTGTCTGCACCTGTATGTGTTGCTTGCATGAGTTGGGACTTGTCAGTCCCAAGTGACAGAGAGCCACACTTCCTCGTCAGAAAGAGAACGCGGGGCCTCGCACATGACATGCCCACGGAGGAAAAAAGGGTTCTTTACGCCGCGGTCAGACCCAAGGCCTAGCAAACGTCATTTAGAAACAAGGTCTTTCTCTCCGCACCTCCGCCTTCCTCGGGGTTGCGTCACTCCTGGCTTTCACGTCGTGGGCCTGGGGACTCCAGGCTCGTATCTTTGCAATGACAAACCCAGCGGAAAGAGAAATCGGGTTTTTTCCTGGTCACTCCAGAGTAAGACGGGGACCAACTTGGGTCCCATGCTCATCGCTGAGCCAATCACGCGGAATCAGCGGAGGACTGCTGCTGAGTGGACAGGCGTGGTCACCTGAGGACCCCTAGCCTAGGGGCCCCACCTGCCCTACCTGAACCATCAAATTAAGCAGGAAATCGCGGCGCTGCTCCCGGAGGAGGAAGAGGCGCTGAGGGGCCGGGCCAGCTGTCCCTGCAGTCTGCCCGTTCACTGTGACGACGTCCAATTCGATCGTTCGTCCCCTGGACTGCGCATGGTGCCTAAGAACTCCTTGCAAATAAGGACGTCCCCTTTGTCGTATGCATTTCAAATTTATTTTTCAGTTTGCTGCTAACGGAAATGATTTTTTATGCACATTCGTTTTAAGCCTTTCTGTAACTAAATTGACAAACTTCTCCTTTACAGCTTTCACTTTCCAGGCTCGGGAGGGGACCCCGCCCTGAGACCTTCTGTTTCCCAGCAGCCCCCAGCCCTGCTTCCATGCTCGCGGGTTCCTTGGAATCCACTGCACCCCGAGCCCTTCCCCGCGGGCCGGCGCGGCCTCTGTCGGTGTGGGCTGGATTATGTAGCACTTAGTTCCACCCTCAGCCCCTGTACTCGTCTCTGTTGATCTTTCCTGTACGTCCCGATCTAAAAATCAAATACACGTATAACCAACCGCCGGCTGTCATTTCGTGATTGCAGTATGGACTCGGACACGTGTGAGGAATTACGAAAGTGCCCGTTGTGAGCCCAGGAGGGCGTGGGCCCGCGCTGGCTGACGCCCTCACTTCTTCGGGCAGGAGGAAGCGGGAGTCCGCGGTCTTTCACTTTCGCTGCCCCCTCACCTCCCTCCCTCTCTACCGGCACCCCCCCCCCGCCCAGCTCTCGCAGGTGTCTTGTGGGTCCTTAAAACGCAGGCTTGAAAGAACCCAAGAAGTGAGAGGCTTCCGTTCCTGCGAGGCCCATAAAGTGAGAGCTTGAGAAAAGGCCACGTCCAGGGCCATCGTCCTGGCCACACCCCCACACGCTCGCGCACCCTCTGCGAACCTCAAACTCGAGTCACCCCGAGAGCTGGACGACCTGGCACGGGGGTGGATCGGGGGCTCGTGCGGCCACGGCCCGTGCGCATGAATGTCAGGTTCCATTGCGTCGGTTGGCTCTGTCCTAGTCCTTTCATTTCCTGCTCCCACCTGGGTCACCTGGAGCCAGGCAGGAGTGTGGCAGCAGGGGCTGCTTGAAGGAAATTGGACCCAGGACAAGGCTCCGACCCTGAAGAGCCAACAGCTCTGTGATGTGGCTAAGGACACGGGCCATGCCCTGGCGCCCATGGGTGAGCTCTGTGGGGAACTGGGGACCAGACAGCAGAAGTGTGGGCCGTGCGTGTGGTGTGGAGCCATCACGGCGTGGGGAGCAGGTGGGTGAGTGGCGTCGGGAGGCGTGGAGTCCGAGGTGGCGGCGGTGGCTGGAAGAGCAGCGTTTTGAGGAAGCTGAAACTGAGGGAGCAGATGGGACCGCAGGGGCGGGAGGCGCAGCTGCGGAAGGAGAAGCAGAAGTGTCGCGGCAAGTGTCAGAGAAACCTACCGGCCCCTGAGACGTCCTGGGTCTCGGATGGCTCCCGAATCAGGCTGTCACCTGCTCTACGCTCTGCACTGAGCAGGGGGCAGGGGGCAGATGGCGACCGGCAAGGAAGGGCTGAGCGTTCCTGATTTCCGTACCCGCCCCGGGCATCCTGGCGGCCAGACCCTCCTTCTCCGAGGGCTCCGGAGTCCTCCCACGGAGCCGGACTTTGTTATGTGACGTGGCCCATCCTGGGGACACCTGCTGTGTGTGCGAGGTCACATATGTACTTGGTGATTTGTTACACAGGGGAGACTCGTACACTACTCCCAGGCACAGGCGTGCCCAACGAAGTGGCAGGTGTCAACGTACACTGAGTCTTGAGTGATACGACCTCTGGGGCTTAGCCCAGGGGCCACCCGTCACCGATGACAGGGCCCGGGCCGGACACCCTGAGAGCAAACCGCACCCGGTGTGAGGGGAATCCAGTCGCCCTCCCATTCTTTCTTTTACTTTCCCACTTTTTTGATGGAGTCACAGTGGGTGGCTTGTCACTCTAAGGAAATCCAACACAGTGGGTAACACAACCAAAGTTTATCATCCAGCTTCTCCCTGAGCGTCTGCTGTGCCGGCCACCAAGGCAGCCCCATCCTGAGCCAGTTCGGG